ATAACCCCAACTCCAAACCACCAACTATTAAAAACTAAATTTCATTATATTAGCAAAGCTATTCACTAAATGACAAATTATTTACTTAGTCATTTACTTCTTAATGTTAAAGAAAATTTTTTTTATTCACTAAAAAGTTGCCAGGTGCAGTGACAAACACCTATAATCCCAGCAACTTGGGTGGTTGAGACAGGAGGGTCACCACATTGGAGGCCAGTCTCAGCACCTTAGTGAGGCCCTCAGCAACTTAGTGGGATCCTGTCCCAAAACAAAAAATAAAAAAGGGTTAGGAATGCAGTTCGATGGCAAAACACCTCTGGGTTCAAATAAAAATATTCACTAAAAAGTTAAGGCTTTTTTAGATTCATAACAACACAATAATTGAATAATTCCTTGATGTTCCTTCAACTTCAGGAAATGTAAACTATACAATACCACTCCCAATGAAAATGTTTGCTTGATTTATGCTTTTCTGTGACACTGTATTCAGTACAATATGCAGTATCTGCATTATTTCTGTATTACTGTTAATGATTTCTGGATATAAAAAGTACCAACTTCTGTTAAGTAACTAGTAATTTGATGCAATGTAAATTTACTTGTAGGATTCCTTCCAGTTCTAAATATGTGGATTATCAACTTCTTTTAATTTTTGGGGGGAGGGGGTTGTGCTGGGGATTGAACCCAGGGCCCTGTGCATGCAAGGCAAGCAATCCATCAACTGAGCTATATATATATATCCCCAGGCCAACTTTTAATATTATAACCCTATCACACATAATATTCTTCTACTTCATAGAGTAATAATCAATTACTCTATTCTGCTTAGCTAAGATTGTTATTATTATATAGTCTAGAAAGGCCAATAAGAAATATTAAATCTTTCTAACCCCTCCATTCTTTGAATGGCCTATGAATTGCAGAGCTGCTGATGAAACCACATAACACAAAACTTGAAACTGGGGTCCCTTGTAGGTGATCCTCCAAGGGAGAAAACAGGGCACCTTATAGTGCGACTCATACCACCAGCTTAACATTCACCCCCAAGTGCTACTTTAAAAACTGGATTCCAGCTGGGTGCAGTTGTACACATCTGTAATCCCAGTAGCTCAAGAGGCTAAGGCAGGAGGATCAAGAGTTCAAAGCCAGCCTAAGGAATGATGAGGCACTAAGGAACTCAGTAAGACCCTGTCTCTAAATAAAATACAAAATAGGGCTGGGGTTGTGGCTCAGTAGTTGAGTGTCCCTGAATTCAATCCCGGTACCACCTCCCACCCCCAAAATTGATTCCAGTCAAGTACTATGGTAAATGTCTACAAACCAAACACTGTCTCAAAATAAAAAAGGCTGGGGATGCAGTTTAGTGATGAAGCACCCTGATTCAATCCCCAGTACTAAGTGGGGAAAAAACCTGGATTCTAAGGCCCCATTAAGACATACATAGTGATAATATTTGGAGATGAGGCCAGGAATCTATTTTCTACAGACTTCTCAAGTAATTCTATTGTATACCAAGTCTGAAAAACACTTCATCACAACCTGCTTACATAGGTGGCCAGGAAACTGCAGATCTTGAAATTTTCCAGATTACTTTCAAATGTACAACCAAGATTTCTACTGTAAAAGAAGCCAAATTTTTACTGTTAATGCATAAAGGAATTCTTCCTAGTTCTAGAATGTCTATGAAAATATGGAATGCCTATGTATGCCTACGAAAACATAACTAATGAAAATCTTAAAAAAAAAAAAGCTTAAAAAAGGGTCTTCTTATTTCTTAAAACTGCTCTTCATAATAAAATTTAGTATGGTCAATGTAGGAAACGAGTTGAACTAACCCTAAATTTCTTCTCCATTAAAAGTCAACATCAAAAAAAGCTTGATGCTACCTTCCTTCAGTCTATGACACAAATTCAAAAGCATCTTCCTTGATTCTGCAGAATGTTGACTTTAAGTTGACAATGACTAATATATATCTTTTACCTTAAAACTCTCAGGCTAGGAGTGTACCCTCAGCACTAGAATTCTTGTCTAGCTTGTGCAAGGCCCTGGGTCCAATCCAAACACCACAAATACAAAAACACTCATGAATTTAATGTGTATTATTCTGTACAATAATTTTATTAAGATGAGAAAACCAATTTGTCTAGTTACTGGATAAATTAGTTTAAAATAACCTTTTAAAATCTTATTTCATGATTGTCTCAGTTATTACTTCCTTACAAGCAATATACACAATTAAAAAACAACTCTAAAAACAGTCTCTAAAATAAGGTCTTCGTTCTAGCAACACCACTAACAGTACCTGTGACCTTAGGCAAATTATTTAACCTCTCTAAACCTCTATTTCCTTTTGGGGGGATTAAATGAGATAATACACGTTAAGGACTCAGTACTTGATTTATGTCAGTCCTCAGTAAACATTAGTCCATATATATGTATATAGGAACCTCTCTGGGAGACACACAAGTGTCGATGGTACCTTCCATGAAAAAAAAAAAATGGGGAGAAAAGACTATATATTTTTGAATTCTGAATTTTAATTTTTTAAAAGAACTTTTTTAAAATTGAGCTCCTGTGCTGAGGAATTTCTTAGTGTTTAACTTACTGCATTGCAAAAGTTGAACTGCCATTACTGAATTTGCAAAGGAGTAAGTCATAATCTAATAATACCACAAAGAAATATACAACCTAGCTTATTTCATGAATCTGTTTTCTTACTTGCTTTACAACTGCCATAATGGCCTTCACTAAAATAATACCTGAACCCACTGGTTCTCAATATGGGATGATTTTTGGATTTACTTGGCAATAGAGACATTTCTGTTTTCACAACTAGGAATATACTACTGGCATCTAGTGGATAGACACCAGGAACACTGCTAAACAACCTATAATTCACAGCATAGGCCCCCACAACAATAATCAGCCCAAAATATCACTAGTACTAAACTTGAAAAAACTCTGCAAACCCAAGTAAACCATTTTGCTTGTTTCTGAAAGTAACCAAATCTTCATTACAATGACAACAAGTCTGATAATTTCTCTCAGGTAATGAACTAAAATCCTTACCACTGGCAGACTAAAGGCAAAATAAAGAAGTCACTGTTGACCGCTCATGTTGAAAGTTTCTGAAACTCTACTTCTGGAAGGGCTTACAGGTTTATGTTTTCCACTTAATTAAATACACTTCAAGATTTTTAAAACACTTATCATCAAACCTTTCAAAAGTTCACTATAAGTAATTTCAAGAGATTATAGTTTTCTGAGGCTGGGGATGCGGCTCAAGTGGTAGCACGCTTGCCTGGCATGCGTGCAGCCCAGGGTTGGATCCTCAACACCACATACAAAACAAAGATGTTGTGTCTGCCAAAAACTAAAAAAAAAAATATTAAAATTCTCTCTCTTAAAAAAATAAATAAAAATAGAAAAGAGATTATAGTTTTTTAATTCTTTCCTGTTTTCAAGTGATATTTGAAGAAATATAAATAGACATATTCCAGTCTACATGCTACTAAAGTAAAACAAGGGCTTTATTTTAAATAGTTATCAAGTCTTTCAAAATAAACTTGATGTTTCTAATTCCAATTACACTGCTTTGACCTTCTGTTCCATACATTAACATCCTTCAAAAGTTTAAGAAAATATTAAGGGCTGGGGATATAGCTCAGTTGGCAAAGTGCTTGCCATGCATGCACAAGGCCCTGGGTTCAACACTCAGCACCACAAAAAAAAAAAAAATAGTTCTGATTAAGAAAGCAAGAAAAGTTAATTAGAGTTAGGTAACTTTACAATGAGGCTTGAAAAATTACAAAGTAAATCATTCTTTCCTCTACATTAAAGTATTTTTTAGTGTGCCCTATCAGAAAATCAACCATTCATAAAGAGCACTTTGAGAAATGTTTTATCAATATTTGAAATATTGTTTTAAAAAAACAGAATGCAAAACTAAAGCAAGTTTTCACTAAAATCTGCAACTGGTTCACAAATAGCAAAGTTCTGACATACTGCTACTGCTAACACTGCTATTAGTCATATTTTACTTTCTTAGTAACTGCGAAACTTCTTTTGCACCTTTTAAAATGTATATCTTTTCCATTATGTAAGAGTTGAGCTTACTCAGGAAGTTGAAGCAGGAGATTACAAGTTCAAGACCATCCTCCCAACTTAGGAGACCTTCCAACCACCACACCTCGGGCTCAAAAAAAAGTTTGGGATCTTAGCTCAGTGGTAAAGAGTTCCTGGGTTTAATCCCTGGGGGTACTGCTTTAATATTTAGTACTTATTTATATTCAATAGTTCACCATATTAAAAAAAAACTTATCCTGATTAAAGAATTCTTAGGAAGACAAAAGAAAACCTTCATTCTTTTCTTAAAAAAAAAAAAAAGGGCTGTTTGCAAATACAAGGTGCAAGAAAGTTGCTCTACTTCTACTGCTGCTTTTCTAACACACTATTCCTGGTGGGTATAGTATCATTAGAACTTTTCCACTCACTTCAAGCCACTCCCCCTGACCATCTATAACTTTAATACTAGTCCAAACCTGCTTGCTCATGGTCTAATAATAAACTTAATTATACAATCTGTAACAGCCCCCGACAACCTTTTCCTTAAGAAGCCACAAAGGTGATTTAACTAACACCTCAAACTCACAATCCATTTCAAAGACAGATTTCTTCATTGCAGCCTTAAGTTTCCACATCCAGGGTTAAGGGAGTCTGGCTGCAGGATGAGGGGGAAGATCGCCTGAATCCGGACTGACATTTACGGGGCGTTGGACAGCAGGGGTAACTGCTGGTTCATCTCTCTTTAAATCTGGCAGCACGTGGGGCGGCATTGTGAAGCCACCAACCCGCCACCCCCCTTTCACTCCGCACACGTAGGCCTCCAGCGCGCATGCTCGGCTCACACAGTCCTAGCAGAGTAGGAGCCAACCCCCTAAAAAGTCAACCTGGAAGCCGCAAACGGCCGGAGGCCGGGACAATGGGGGAGGGGGACGCACTCTTCCAGGCAGGATGACCGGGCCGCCGCCCCTAGTCGGAGACTGCGAGCGCAGCCCCGGGGGTCTGCGAGCCTGCGCGGGAGCCTGAGCCGCCGCGAGCACAAAGCCCGAGCCGGCCAGCGAGCCGCTGTCCCCAG